CATCCTTCAAAGATGAGCACTGAAATCGATTTCAGAATCAAAGGCTGGTGGACAGAGGGCAGGCGAGACATGTCGGCACAAAATAGAAAAATTAGAGCCCAATGCTTTGGTTTAAGCACTTTCATCAGGCAGACGGCTGTATTTTACTGAAAAGGTCTGAAAAACACACAATATACATTCATGGTAGGCAAAGTCGTCTGGTAAAAACAAGACCATTTAACAGGTAAAGAGACAGATTATTCTATCAAGAGGGCCAAAGCAGGGCAACTGTTTACTGTTTCTGCTTTCAATAGGAATTTTTAAAATAATTTTTTAAAGTGGTTTGAGCAATCGTTCTATCTGAAGGTCTTTCAAAGTTTTGTTATCTAACTCAAGTGTTGAGTTATCTAACTCAAGGGAAGAACCATTGTTGTGCCTAAAATATCAGACAACTTAGCAAAGAACCATTTCAAATTATATCTTTAGGCACTTCGTTACTACCAGCCCGTCACAAACGTGTATCGTTTCTTCACATTTCTTTAATTAAATCTTTATGACATACAATATGACACACATAAAATGGTATTTTTGTACCAAAGCTGACTCAGAGAGTTCAGGCTTTGCTGAAAAATAAAGGTGGTCATACGTTCAAATTTGCTAGAATTATACAAAATGTTGTTGTTTTTTCTTTTCTTTTTCTTTTTCATTGCCAGAGTCAATCAGGAGATTATATCAAAATGGGACATGCCCTCCAGCATGGTCCAAGAATGACCAAGCCAAGATCCTGTGGGACTTCCAGATACATACAGACAAACTAGTGATGGCCAACCAACCGGACATAGCAGTGGTGGACAAGCAGAGGAAGATGGCTGTAGCGATAGATGTAGCTATATCAAATGACAGGAACAGATACCAAGGGCTGAGACAAAAGCTCAAGAAGATGTGGAGGGTGAACTTAAGAGGACCTGAGCTTGAAAAATGAAGACGGATGAAGACCGCCCATATACAGTATATATATATATA